ACATGAAGACATTCATATCAGTGAGGTGGTTTTGATCAGTCCACATGTGCTGAAAGTTTTAACGTTTCCGTCGACTGGAGGACAGAAAGTAAATATGGATTATCTTTGTCAATGAAATAACTTTTAAGAGGCTTTGTCATGACAGAGAGAGAGAGAGAGAGAGAGAGAGAGAGAAACTCCTCAGTTAATCATTGAACTCTCCTGAACCGGATTTCAAGTCCAAACTAAGTCCAACACAAACAGGACGAGAGCAAAGCTCTCACACTCACACACACTCAAACACACACTAACGCTTGTGAATCAACTGCAGAGAAAACAATAAATTACTTGTTACTATGGCAGATTTGAAACGACTCCGTTGGCATGAAAAAAAAAACCTGGTGAAAGTTTTTTGTTGCCGTTTTCGTGACACTCGGCCAAAGTCAAAGTCCTGAGGATTTTCATATTCTGAGGAGACATTCACTGAACTCAACCTGCTGCTGTCGGCACGAAAACAAACTGATCGGATGAACCGGCTTCAAGTAACATCATTATTATCATTACCATCTGACATCAGATGCTTCACCGTCATCCCATCCGACGCATTATCAGAGTTTCTGCTGTGTCTTAAATATTATGTACAGGGTGTTAAATACGTTTAGGTTTTAATTATGTTCATTCAACGCCACTCCAGTCGTGCTTTAAAACAAATGTCACCACTAGAATCCTGAGATTTCTCTGGTGTTCGTTTGTGTGTTAAAATAACTGATGATCTAGTGAAGAATGTGAGTTTTGTGTCTTTTGTTAACATTTAAACCAGTTTGCACAGTTGTGCTTCTTTATTTTAACCTGTTTTATATGCGTCAGATTTAAAGGACAGGGGCGACGACACATTTGGGTTTTAATATATTTGCAGAGTTCTGTTAGGTTTCATTATGACAGTGCTCCACAGATGTTTGCACTGGTTTGGGTAAAAACACAAAAAATAAAAATCTTTAGTTGGCTAAGAGAAAGTTGCTGTCGTTGGAGCTGCCTCTTCGGATCTCTGCCACCAGGTTGTGGAGTTTCTCTGACAGCGCCACCTGGTGAGAAGAGAGCAGTTTGTAACGTGTGTGAGCTGTTGGGTATTTTTGCGTTCGGTGCAGATGTGAGTGACGCTCACTTTGTAAGAGTCCGGCTCATGCAGCCTCTTGTGCTTGGGGTGCAGAGTCTGGAGGGAGCTGTGGACCTTTGCTCTAGTTTCTGCAGCGCTGCACGGAGGGTGTGTGACCTAGAAAATGTTGGAGACACATTAAGAACAGAACTCGTCCCTGTCTAACATTAAAGTTTGTTGCAAAATTAAAGAACTGAGAATCTCAAACCACAACAGACAACACAGAGGGAGGGGGGCCTGGGTCTCGGATCAGGATTCCTAAAATATTGTGTATGTATAAATATATGTCAAAATGAACAGATATGGTGCAGAATTTATGGATCTGCCATTCTAGTATTTTATTTTTCAACTATTTTACTTATGTAAGTGATCATCTTGTGCATCAGGGATCTATGCACGGTGCTCGAAGGAAACAGAAACTTTGTCAGTCAGGTTCCCCTGAGTCGCAAGCAGCTGCTGTTTCCACTGTAACTGGCTGAGATGTAATCCAACATGAAGACGGAGAAATTCAGTGTGGGGGGGGGGGGGACTCCCATAGGAAAAGCTTCTCCCATAGGATGTTCCAAAAATAACACCACAGGATGTGTCAGATAACAAGAAGAACAAGCATCGGAAATATCAGCTAGTTCACGTTCAATCAATCAAGAGTGTCTTTGCTCACCTGTCCTCTGGTGAGCACCTCCTGACGCAGACAGCTGACCTGAGCTGGAGTGATGGAGACAGCCGAGTCATCGCTCCCCAGAGGGAAACAGCTCAGAGGGACTCCTGCCTCCGGAGGAGACTCCACCTCCAGACACACGAGGTCTAGAAAGGGATGACCTGCAGAGGAGGAGAGAACCAGTCACACTCACTGCTGCCCCTTGTGGCTGCAACGCTCCCAAACACAACAGGGACTAAAGTATGAAATAATAACATTTAATGATAAATAAAAGAAACAGAAATAACTGGAGCCACAGACTGAAAATAAACATGATGGCTCCCAAAAGGCACCTGGCTGAAATATAGGTCATAAAGTCCACCTCCTCCATGTTAGCTGATGGAACATGGACAAAACAAAGAACAGTTCAAATAAAACGTTCTCAAAGCTGGTTTCTGATATTTTGGTATAATCTCTCATTAAAGAGAGGAAGTGGAGACACATCATCCATCTGTATTTACAGTCTATGCACAGTGCAGTAGATGGGAAATCATGGGACACAGAGAAGTGAGGCAGGTGAGACAAACTCTCACCCTCAGCATCCACCAGACGGTAAACAGATTTCCTCCCAGGAACAGTGCTCTTCTCTGGGTCTTCACTGATCTTCATCCTGGGCCGTCCCCTGACCTCCACCAACTATCACACACAGAGAAACAAGACCACACACACGTCAACACCACAAATCTACTGAGTTTAAATAGAACAAATGAAATTACGGCAGGAAAATATATATAGAAAAATTGAGGAGTTTATGAGTTATCCAAACAG